AGATTATTTTATGTGTTTTAAACTATTACATTTATTATTTCTATTATTACTATTTATTATTTATTTAAATGACTTATCAAACTTTATGAATTGTACTTTATAAATTATAAAATTGGTCTGAAATGTATACTGTGTTACTATAGGTAGCCTGATAGACAGGAAGTCTATATTGTTTTTTAGAAATAAAAGTTGTTTTTTCTTGGTTAGCTTAATTATATAGTGTGATTGACTAATTTTCTCTCATAATAATTTCAATTAGGTAAAATTATTTTTCAAAACATTTTTGTTTGTGTTATTTTACAACTGAAAACATGTTTTAATAACCACTTACTTTTTTGATAATTTTTAATTAAATAATATTTAATTATGATAAAAAAACAAAGCGTAGTTAGTATATAGTATATATTTGTTTATAATTTTATAATTTAGAATGCATTAGTTTTTAGATGTAGTTTTTGACACAATAAAGTAAAAGTAAACCAAATATATTTTTTCTAAATCTGTTCTCATAGACACGTTTACTCTCGATAACGAGTGATTTGTATCTGTGTATTGTATTAAGTGATATTATATAATACGTTTAAACGAAGGATGTTTAACATATTGAATACTCTCTTTGAGTATACAATGATGTGTTCGATATAAATTGTATTATAAAGTCCAGATACCGTTATCTTTATTTATATGCATAGTATAATGTAGTAAATAATTATAGATTCAACATTTAAATAATAAATTAGCTTTAGTAAGTTTAACCCTTAACAATACCTGCTATTATCTAATAACTATAGATATATATAAATAATGTCTTGATAATAATTGAATAGTTTTATAACATATTCAATATTTTTGATATTTTCATTTTAGTCAGTTATCAATGAATCAAAGTATACAACTATTTTATTTTTAATAGTAACGCAGTTACATCTTATATGAATCATAATTCATGAAACACAATTTTGTAGCTCTACACAGTTTTGACCTCTAAACTTTAAGTTATCTAGATTAAAATAGTTTTGAATATTGAAAACCATATGTTCAGTTTTATTCAAATTCAACTATAAAAACTCGTAAAACCATGTAAATATGTTTTAATAACTAAATATTATATTACTTCATTATTTGGGATTTAATGATTTTCAAATATTTTTGATAGAGACAGTGATAACGATATTGGTTTATAATGGCTACAGTCTAGTAATTATAACTAGAGCCCTAGTAATTATAATTACCGACTGAAATAATAGATAATAACTACTGAACAATTATTTATTTCCTGTTTCGTGTAAAGGAATAAAGACACATTTGTTAAAACTATTGGGGCACTTACCTGAAAATAATGATAAATTAAATACCTACAACTTTTATACTTTTCATTGTTAACTACAATTTAGTAAAGTACAACTGTTTAACAGTATAAAGTTAGAATTATCTTCTACTAGTTTAATCTAGTATTTCTAACCAAAATTATGGGGGTATAAGATATTCCTAACACAATTATACCATTTTTAATTAATGTTAAATAAAAATGGGATTATCTAATCTGTTTTTAAATGTTCACTTAGTTAAAATAGAGTTAACCTGACCGCTTGATATTCAATCTTTTAATTTCTGATTTGACAATTTTATTATATACATATTAGTGGAATTGGAAATAGCCTCATTAATTTTCACATTAAATATGTCCATAGCTACGTTTATATCATTTAAATTTTCACAACTTCACCAATCTTAAGTAAATATTAACATACTTAAATCAGTCTTATTATAACTTATTAAACTTTTTGTGGGCAAAAAGAGCTTTAACAGCAGATCTCGATGAGAACGAGATAAGAGATAAATAAATATGATGAGATGCTGCAACTAGCAATTGTATCTATTTATTTTATAATATGTATTATTTCTATTTTTTTTATAATATAAGTAAAGTATACATTTCTTAATAAATGGAATGTAGACAGAAATAATAACAGAAAAGTTATAATATCACTTCTATAAGAAACAAATCGAATTGATAATAATTGTATTGATTATCACTTAAATTGTATTTCTACAAAGGCAATCGAGGTAAAAGATAATTAGCCAAGTCTTTGCCAGGCTTGTACAAAAATATTTTATTACTTTACACTAGTATCTTACAGCATCACTTTAGACATTTAATTTTACTTATGTTTGGAAATGTGCAGTATCAAAAATTCTTATAAATCTATGGATCTATGAAAATATAATTTTAAAAGATCTAAATGAAATATGGATATACCTAAGTAGGTATTCTAATTTCTAATCGATTTTTATACTATCTGATTATCAGAGTATTAATTAAAATAATTAAAAAAAAGCTTTATGTCAATATTGTCCACCGTAAAACGGCAGGACTTAATCCAAAAATTATTTAACTACAACAGAAAGCAAGTTCCTAGAACAGAAAAATATATATTATACACTAGGGTACCATACCTAATTTATAAAGGATGGAACAGTACAATCGTTTGAAGAAGTTTTGCAGTTATTTAATTAAGATCTTTGTACCATACCAAGAGTAGATCAACATTTATGTGATGAGTATTTGATACGCTCGCATTAATGTGTATCAATTGTCATATTATGCGATTTCTGGTGTAATTATTCATAAATTACTAATTTAACTATTCACGGCTTAAATTGACTGATACATGAAAGAATAATTTTAACTATTACCCTAATGCAAACAGTCGTTAATGTATATATTATTACAGCGCCCTCTAGAGCTAAGTAGGGGAGATAGCAAACAAATAGGGTGAATTAAAATAATTCATTTTGAGCAAAAAAAAAAAAATATATATTTAAATCAGGAACTGAAAACGTAGATTAAAATTATTGACAGCATCATAGTTAAAAAACTACACAAGATTTAAATGTATTCAAGATTTGTTGAGTAGTTTTAAGTATGAATTCGTAAATGACAGATCTTTCATTGAAATTCAATTCCGAATATTAACTCATAAATTGTTTTTATTTTTGAATTTTATTTAATTTTTTATTCGTATTCTATTACAAATTTCAATAACGCAATTAGACAAAATTTATGGCAATTCAACTTTTCTGTCATTTCAAAAACACGTTATAAATGGTTATAAACTTGACATAATACACGTAGGTGCAACTAGGGAGGTGCTGGTACCCCAAGAATCAAAATTAATCCTAAAAACTAAACCCCAAATCTAGAATACAATTTTTCTAATGTACATTCTCTCTGCAAATTTTTTATTTTTGTTTTCATATATTTTATTTTATATCTAATGGTTTGAAGATGTACAATTTTGCTCAACATGTATAGGATGATAATGGATTTGAATGTAACTGAAAGTTTTCCAAACGTTGAAAAAGTGGTTAATTAGGGGAATTAGGTTATTTTCTAGACAAATACTAAGTCCTGACTTGGCATTCAAGTCTTTTTATAACTAAAAAGACATTTAACTCTAATATGTACACGACATACTTAAAATTTAAACAACTTTATTATCGCGGTTTTTTGAAGGCCAATCAAAACGTGTAATCAGACTTTTGTTTTTGTTTTTGATACTATCTAACCTATAATTACAGATTTTGAAATCAATAAACATCGTGACAACGGTTAAAATTTAAAATCCACATTATTCTTATTCTTATTACTTCTATTATAATTGTTGTGTGTATTGAAGACCACTATGCAAAACCTATTATTCCTTATAATAATTTACTTTTTTGTGAGAATCAAAAACAAAATTACTTATCTAATTGATTTCGAAATATGTAATTATTATTATAATGCAGGAAGTGAGAGTATTAGCCATAATGTCATTAATTTTTTTCTCAGGCCGTTCAACATCGTCTAAAAATTGGAATGTGGAGAAAAGCTAATAGTGAACAACCACGTAGAACCATGTCTGCATGTTATAAGCATACACTTAGAATGTACATTTGGATTTTGGATACTGTGGTATTGCATTTGCACAGTGAAGTTCAAGTAAGGATGGTAACAGTACCCATTAGCTAGTATGATACTGGCTGTATCCTTGAAAAAAACAATTTTGTTCTATAATTAAATCTTAAAATCTTTGTAAATGAATCCTTATAGATTATAATGGGTTGTCCTATAAATTTAGGAAATTGCCAGAAGAAATTAAACTACTACAACAGAACGCAAGACCTAATATAACAGAACTACAATTATTAATATTATAAATTTGTATTGTAGCTAACTATAATGAATTTTTTTATGATATTTGTTTCAGCTTGCCTAGCGGTTGATAATTTTTGCTTTTGCTCACTTTCAAATAATCAAGTACTCCAAAACCACCATTCTAAAACAGCTTTTTTAAAAACTAACTGGTATTAATCCATACCTAACCATTCTTACTGTACCAGTAGAATTTGTATTAATTTAATTAATTTTTACCATTGTGTTAATATATTAACTTTTTCTAGACTTTGGAAATTTAAGTTGTAATTTTTAGATTTGTTTTTCACGGAGTAGTTATGGCTAACAATAATGGAATTGTACACGAGGACATCAATGCTGTTCAAATTGTTGATGCAAATGATCACAATTACAATAGAGTAGAGGATGAAATTGCTGTTCCTGAGCACCTAATCGACCATAATTACTACATTCCAAGTAATTATCAAAACATTTTATCTTAGGAATCACTCCTTTTAGTTTTGCCATGTCAATTAAAGCGTATATCATATTATATTTTTTTGTAACATATCTTACTGTTAATGCATACTTTTAAATTATCTAATACATTATTATTTAATTAGTTGTAGTGCAAGACAATTCGGCTTCTGAAGACGAATTTGATGAAGGTAATTAATAACTATATGCAAAAAAAACTTCTATGATCGTTATGCTTTTATTACTTGTTTACAAATTAACATCTTTTTTATCATCTAAAATGTAAAATTGTAGAAAAAATTATTATAATGAAAATGTAAACACTTTACATGAAATTTTGATCAAAATATTTAAATTTGGCTCACAATATTATTAATATATAAACTTGATTTTAGTTCTGATTGCAGATGACATGCTTTCAGACGAAGATGATGAAGATCAACCGGCTATCGGTAATAAATATTTAGTGGAAATAACATGTTAACTTTATATTTATTTGTAAATCTATTTTTTTTTAGAAATTCAAAGACCAGATACATACAAAAAAGTACCCGGAGTGCACAATAAGTCCGATGTATACATAGATAATTTGTACTATAAATACTATAAAAAAAGTGTATACCGCAACAAAATGTTAGTATACAACATCACAAAATTGTAAATGTTTATTAAAAGCTTTACCTTTTTTCTTAGGTATTTGGTGTGCGAAAAGCAACGTAATAAGAAGGCCGATGATTACTGTCCTGCCAAGGCTACAATCATACTTGACGATGCAAACAACCATATTAAACTTCAACATGAGGGACACAATCACCTTCCTGTACAGCAAGACTTGGAAGCACCATTCTTAAGAAGAGATATAGGCAGAAGAGTAATTGGGTTAGTCTCTGATATTGCAGTGCCCACCAGACAGCTGTATAATGAGGAGATTATATAGTAAGGAAACTTGTGACATACAAAATAAATAACCCATCAGTAAATTGTGTTACCTGTACTTAACATATTACTATATTGTTGCAGCCATCCTCGTGGTAGCTTTAGCTACACTTTTCAGCAGGCCCGAGAGAGATGCAAGAAGATGAAAATACTGCGAAGACCACCAACACCGCAGACTATTGAAGAGCTAGTAGAGTTACTGGACTTAGATGCGAATGTTGCGTATCGGACCACCATTCAAGAGGAACCATCACAACTGTTTCAGCAATCGATTACCGTGCAAAATAATGTTGTAGGAATTATTTTTGCGAACTTGAACTTCATACAAGCTTTTGAGGAGCAGTTCCAGAATGTGACAATAGCAGGATGTGAAGGTACTTTTAAAACAGTACCAAGCATGCCAAAACAACTTCGACAGGGCACATTCATGACATTTCAGGTCATCTACAAAAATGTCGTAAGTTAAAAAAGAAATTGGTTTTATTATAAATTTATATCTTTTCATTCACCTTCCTCCATTGTTTTATCTACAGTCTTTTCCATTGGTATACGCTTTATTGTCAAGTGCAACTGAAGAAACATACATAGAGTTCTTCAGAGTGGTCCGCACCATGCTTCCGTTAAACTACGACCAGTTGACCATAATAACTGATTATGAACGTGCCCTGATGAACGCGCATCATGTGGTGTTTCCAGAGAGCAGACTACAGTGTTGCTGGTTTCATTACACTCAAGTAATAACTGATACCATTTCATAGATGACAAATATTATATCATTGGTTCATAATCTGTTTTTCTTAGGCCGTTGTAAGGTATTGTCGCCGAAAATACAACTCGGTGTATAACTTGATGACCACTAATCCGATAGCTGCCCGAGTCCTCCGAATGGTAATTAACTATTTCTTTACTTACCATTAATAAATTATAATTGCCACAATGTTTTTATATATTATATTTTATTTAGGTTTTAGCATTACCTCATTTGCCAGCCATGAGAGGACAGGAAAATTGTCCTGAATTTTCAATGGTAGATGGATACCAGCGTATTTTAGAATATGCGCAAGAGTTTCCTGAAATCTACCACCAAATGGAGACATTTCTGAAAGGGTATGACTTAGAATGTTTACACACTTCCTAAAATGATATATTTAGAAATTAGTTAACTGTGTTATTACTTTTTACTGTTTATAGATACATTTATAACTTTTGGATGGTTCAGGTTGGACCCCATTTTATTAGTGTCTTTGGGTGTGATATCCGCACTAATAATTATTTGGAGAGTTTCCACAACCAGCTTAAACGATTCTTTGGAACCCATCCAAACATCTGGGACTTCTTGCGTAAGAAAATAAATACTAAAGAAAAAATATTTAATTAAGTTTTCTTTATTATAATTAAACAGTAATAATAATATTGAGTTACTTGAAATTTATAGCACATATATCAGTAAACGTAACAAATTTATCTTTTAATAGATTTTCTGTTAAAAAATATTTTTATCCTTACATAAACAAATCCATTTTTAAACCTATTAAGTGTATGTCAACATTTTTTTTCCAAATGGGACCAAATGTTGAATTACACTAGCCAGTACAACAATGTTCTATTATTTTCTAAATGCCTTTTAACAATCTTTAACAAACAATTATGTATTTAACAACTTCAACTAATCTTTAACAATTATGTATATGTATAATTCTTTTTTTTTGAAAAGTTGAAAAACATCAACACATTCCATGAATTTAAATTAGATTTGTTGAAAAATTTAGCGTAGTTTAGAAAAATTAAGATCAAATTGAATTTTTGATAGTAATTTAATTTGTAAGATACAATTTCCTTTAAGAAAAATATGATTATTCTATGTGTAGCTTATTAAAAAATAAAAATTACTAACTACACTAATAATACAGCTAAAAACAGACCATTGACTAGTAATTATGTTATAGAACATTCTTGCACTATTGGAATTTGAATAGTGGTAGTAATTCAAGTCTCATCTATAAAAAAAATATAAATTTCATCCGACTTGTTGGACATTATGCTTGGATTTTTATGTTTTTACCTTAACTTAGTTATTATTTGTTACAGAAAAACTCAGGATATTGGAAAACCAATACTATGTGGAAATGATCCAGGCAAGCAAAGACTTAAAGGTATTTTTTCAGTTTTCATAAAAAAAAAAAATAAGTGACTAAGTATGTACCGAGTTTTTAAAACTTTATACTTACTTTGCAGGTAAGAGATCAATTAACAATAGCCAACCGCGCAGCGAACACCCTTATATTAAGAATTGCTATTGAGCAGCTCAATGAAGATGGTGACATCCTGAGGTGTCTCAGAAAAATGGGGCATGCCAATGCAAACTATATTAGAAGGCAAATGGGACCTCGCCCCCTACAATAAAGTAAGGTTAAATCTAAATCAAATATTTTATAATACATGATGTGGATACTTTAAATTACCATAAAATCAGCAATAGACAATTTGCATTTATGCAACGGTAATTGGTGCATTTGTTGAACATAATTTTTATAAATATGTCGCATGTTATAATTGATCATCTTGAACACCAACCACCATTCCAATTAGACTAAGAAACACGAATAATACTTTTAAAAAAAAATTTTTCTTACTACTTTTTAATCCTTAAATAGTACATTACTTACATTTCAATAAGATCCAGGAGCAAGAAAAAAAAACATTAGCAAATAAATTATATTTGATGCCACTGGGTTACATAACAGTGGCGTCGAAGTCTTAAAAATGTGGTCGGGCCTCGCCCCGACACCAGTATGGAGTACGACGCCACTACTGTAACCTAACAAAATAACGAAAATTTTGAAGAAACTATAGAATTTTGATGAGTCATGCTTGTGACTTCTGTACTAACGCGTAGTGTAGTATACCTGAACATAGTAACGTTGTTTACTATATTATGTTGTGACCACAAATACGATTGTGAATGCATACCCCTCTACCAGACTAATTCATCAATGGGCGTAGTATACTATACCCAAGGTTACAGGTTACGCTATCTACCTGTACTACACACAATAGTGGTAAATCGTAATACATTGTGATAACACCCATTGCATAATTTAGTCATGATAACACCATTCATCCGAGTAAACAAACAAGTTTCTTAACGTTGAAATTACATACTCTTAATTCACGTTTCCACTTTTAAAATTCACATCGCACTTACAACACAAGTGTGGATGCTTGAACAAAAAATATTTTAAAATATGAACTACGTACTAAAACATTTAAGAAAAATTAATTATTGTCCGTAATTTACAAAATTAAATGATATAATATTATGAGAATAACTATAGCGAATTGAAAAGTAATTGGATCGTTATAATTATCACAGTATAAATTTTGAAGAAAAAATGTTAAATGAAAAGTACTCATTACATATCTGCCCATTTAATATTTGTCGCAAATCCACTTGCAATTGTGTTAAGCTGAAATAGTTAAAATTATAACTATAACATATGTTTTATTAATTCTTAGTTATGTTTGTCCTCAGGTAAACCAGCTTTGTATCAATCTGTTGCGACCAGATACCTGTTGCCGGTCATCTGTTTTTCACACACATACTACACACACACACATGCACTAGATTGTAAGCAAATGTGCCACGCCCGTATTAATATACTTTGTTCGGTTTTCCGACCCTTATATTTAAAAAGTTGCAAACTAATTTTGTTTTTCAGTGTTTTAACTGCACTAATTGCAGTAAAATATTGTGCAACGATTGTTTGATTGGGGTTACTAGTCAACTTAAAAATCTAGTCAACAGTGATAATGTTAGCACATAGTTACCAGTATTGTACAAAAAGTTGTTAATTTTATAATATTATTGTTGTTTGTCTGTTTTTAGTTTTATTTAAGCTAGGGTAGCTGTGTTGGCCAGCAGCTCATTATTATTATTTATTACTATCTAGTTTGAGTTTTATTTATTTAGTTATTAATTATAGTTCACAAGACCTCTACACACTTCATATTACACACTAGACACATTTTTCACCTCATAGCCTCTGGTTTCTGCGCAGGTGAACCCTCCCAATTCCAGTTGAGCTATTTACTTCACTACACTATGCAGACTGATCGGTACGGTATAGCGCAAAGAAGTTGGTGGTCTGGTAAGCGACCTAATATTGAAAGCCCCTGGCCCGTACGTGGAATGAAAAATTATTTTACAGCAACAAACGAGGACAAGAGAAAATTATACAGCATACTTGCTTTATTTCTACTTTATATTTTACTTCCTTTATTTTATTGTATTTTAATGTAATTATAAAGTGTGATTAAAGGAAAGCATGTTTTTTTTTATTCTACTTAAGAAATTTAACTAAAATAATAGAATCATGAATAGACTTAAATACAAATTTTTAAAGATGTAGTAATTATAAGAAAAAAATGAAACAATAAATAACAACACAAATTTGTTTAGACGTGTCTTAAAGAGATAAATAAAATCCTCAAGCTGTTATACACTAAAATATTCAGAATACTTTTGTGTGGTATTAAAACTTTAAATTCATCGTAGAGACTTGGTTATCGCTAAGTAAATGGCCATATTAAATGAATAAGTACATAGATTAATAAAATATGGGCTATGCAATCTTCTAACAAACAAGGACATTTTCAAATCAAGAGATAATTGTAAATTTGCAAATTTATATTGACCAAAAATTGTATCATATTTTTAAATCATATGAATAACTATTTCAGAACAAATTCATATTGTTTAGTTTGGTTTATATAATAAAAATATATACCCAGAGTAGCTTAATATAATCTAATTTCTGTAAAATATTAAGTGATTAATAATAATTTTTTTAAAAACCTACTAATTGATTATAAATAACATTCAGTCTTGCAAGGTATTTTAATACCGATCAGTCTGATTTGATAATCTTACCAACATAAAAGCAAGTTTTTATTAAATTACATTATATATTTATTGAGTATGACGTTTATACGATTACGACCCTAGTTTGATCATTTTTATTAATACAACAGAATTGTTAAATCTAGTTTACAGTAATTTTATATTATGCCATATTCGTAGTATCTACCTATTATCCCATGCAAAAGGGGCCGTACAACAATTTTTTTCTCTTCACGAGTCTTTATCTGGCAAAAGGTTCACTTTGGACTATAACCTTATAATGTATATATTGATTTATGTGGAAACTTGAAAATTAAATATGTGTTTTGTTCTAGTTATTCATGTAAGGTATTTAAACTACAAGTGTCATATGTTCCGTTATCTTGCTCTAATATATCCTTTAGGTACCAAATTTTGTTAATAATATATCTTCTAAAAGACAAGATTGAAGACAAAGCTTATAAGCTCCTACCTGTATTCTTTAACTACAGAATACATATGTAAGATGTGGTAAAACTAATTTATACTTGACAGCCAAATTCTGAAATCGTCAACTAATTTAGGTAAAAAGTAAGAATAATGTTTTATTTAAATAGTAATATAAACAATTTGAGGGAAATTTTAATAAAATTATTATTATTTTATACCAAATAATATTAAATTATAACATATCTATGATAGGTATATACTATAATATAATGTAATTTATTATGAATTTTACGTGTATAGTGTATACGATTTAAATTAGATAATTGATAAAGATCTAACTACAATTTGCAATAAAGATAAGAACCTAACCAAAGGCAAGGTTTTTGATATTAAAATACGAAATTTCTCTTGGCGGGTTTTTGGTAAAATCGATGTTGGTACTATCTGTAGTATTACACATTTTATAGGTTATGTAACATTTTTTTCTTATCACGCGTTATCATTTTTTGGAAGAACTACCCCCAACCCTAGGTGAACTATGCAAACATGTTGTTATGGTGTGGTACGGTACTGACCTATGTCAAATATGCACACATGTACGGGGTGCCGAAGGGAGGGAGTAAGACACTGCCCTAGGTTCAAACTGTATACGATAACATGGCCATAATGATCGGAGAGGAGGGGTATTCTACTGACCTAGGTCAAAAGTGCATGCAATAACTTGGTTGCTGGGGACGGAGTGGAGGGGGGTGTCACTGACCTAGGTTACCAATGCAGGACGGTCTGTGCCGAATGGAATGTGATGACGTCATTAAATGCATCAAATTTTAAAATTACATGGTGGGGGGGGGGGGGGTTAGAGGGGAGGTGGGGGGGTCACTGACCTAGGTCAAAAGTGCAGGCCGATTCTGTCTAGAATGGGATGTGATGACGTCATCCAATGCATCAAATTTTGATGACGTAGGCACATTCCATTGTAGACAGAACCGGCATTCTATACTCTACTTAGGCGTTTGTCAAAAATGAGGCCTAAGTATTTTACTTGGTTAGTTTGGGGGAGTAGATTGTTATAGAGTTTGACTGGTGGACAGTTGTCTGGCCGAAGAGAAAAGGTAATGTGATTTGATTTGCTTGTATTAACGTTAATTTTCCATTTAGTAAACCATTTTTCTAGAAGATTGAGGTGGTGTTGGAGTTTAAAATTTGTGATTAAGGGATCAGCGTCAGATGCTGGTATACTTGTATTGTCGGCAAAAGTATTTAAAATAATGGAGGTAGATGTAGGTGTATCAGCTGTGTGATACAAATGTTAAGTACAAGAAATTAAAATCACTGCAAAAACTATTTATGAAGTTTCTTGCGGCCAGTGTAAAATTTCAAATTTGTGACTTGTGTCGTTTTTGAAATGACCAATAAAATTACAAAATAGAAGCATCAAAGCGTTTATTTGAAAGTGAGTTTATTTACTTTTATTTATAACAATTCCTGTAGAGCTATTTTTATCTGCGCGCATTTCTCTACCGCACTCCACCTCCCATCCTACCCTTTAACCTATAGAAACTAAGAAAGTAATTGTCCAAATCTGGTTATCGAGCAGTTAAAATTTTCAGCAAATTATTCTTAACAAAATGGCTGTCTTGAATTAAAAAAAAAAAAGTAAAATAGTTAAGTGCAATAAAATACATAGTGCTTATAGCGCATATGAGTATAAATAATTAAAAAAAAAAAAATCTTAAAAATATTCACTAGAACAAAAGTTATTTAATTTGTCAAATCTTCCTGGGCCACCCTGTATACGTTATCATTTAAGTTTCAAAAGTTGCTATCAAAAAACTAAGTTGGGAGGGGGGTAAAAACAAAAAACATTGTGAACAATTTAGATCACGTTGTATAACGACAATATGAAAAAAAATATTTTTATTTCTTATTAAACCCTATGAGATATTGAGTGGTACATGACAAAAGCATCACCCTGTATTACAGCTTTCAAGCACTCTGTATTAATATTGTTTCATGTACCTAAAAAAATATCGCGGCAATCGTTACAAATTCCAGTCAAACATTTGTTATGTTAAAAGTTGTCTAATGTAATATTTTAAACAGATTAAAATGTTTGTTACTAAAACTCGGTATGAATATTTAAAAACAAATATAATTTTCATTTTTGCTTAGGCGCACCAAAGTTTGAAAATCGCACAAAATACCCATGTGTACTCAGGTGTTTCCGATGATACCAAATGATCCCTGGCTGAAAACAACTAGCAGTGTTTTTTTCGTTAACCGTATGTATTCATCGTGTGCCTAACCGTTGCATTAAATTTCTAAAAAAAAAATGTATAATGTCCAATAATTATTAGTTATATCCAAAAATGATTAATTTAAAAGCCGCGGGCATTCAACACGATGTAAAAACATTATGCTTTTACAATTTCCTACCTATCTTAAAATACCACTATTTTCTCTGTACAAAAAACCGCAGTTTTATTTCCAATTTCCATTGCGTTCCGCAAAATATGGTTTGCATATAATACAAATATCGTGATCGATGATGAACTTACAATAGTCAACGTACACAAAGCCACCGTTTTCTAAAACTTTTGTACTTAAATGGCGAGGCGGATGTACATTTTACGAACACTACAATAGTGGGCCATATAATATATTATTATATGAACACTTATTTATTTAATTTAAGTATACACGCCAATCGGCTGTTTTAAGTTACATAGTTGACAAAATAATTAAACAT